ATCCCCCCTTCGCACATCATCTTATAAGTCGATGCTGCCGTGTAAATTCCAGTGGTGCTCCATGCCCAGATCGGTCTATCCTCCACCTCCTGGGTCAACTGTACTTCTAACAAAGCCTCCCATAACCTAATGAATTGGGTCAGGCCTTAGGAATTCATGTATTCACTATGAGTGAATGCTTTGTTCTAGTTCTCTATTAAAAGGAGGCCTTGATATCCCTTAGTTACCTTATGGACTCCGTTGCCACGGAAGGGTAGGATAAAAGATGTCATGCAAGTTTATTTCATAAGCACGTATATTTATGAACTAGAACTAGTTTTGTATCGCCCTAGGTTATGACTGTTATATGATGAATATCATCCAACGAATTCACCCGGTCCAATGCCTACGAATTTTCCACATATTGCTTTTGCTAAGTTACTATTGCCGCTCCTACTGTTACCACTGCTATCAAAATCACCATATTACTGTGCTACCGATCACTTCACGGTAGATATTTAATCTCCAGGTGCCATCATCCCGGGCTTTTGAGGCGGGTTTGTGGCATCCGGCTGCAGATGCTCTGAGAGGGTTGAAAAAAAACTCGAAGAGCACCGCTTGTTAGAGCCGAGGCTCGAACCCGGGTGGGCTGGCAGCTACCCCAGCTGCCCAGCCAATGGGTCGACGCCCCGTCCTCGAGTGTCTCGTTTTTTTCTTTTTTGAGGGATCGAGTGTCTCGGTTTTACTGTACTAAAAAAAGGGCCATTTGCATTTCTGTCCCTAACTCGGACCACCTAATCAGATATACCCCTAATTCAAAAGCCTGCTCAAAAATGCCCCTCCGCCGTTATGTGCACTTATAGAAATGCCCTTCCGCTCCGTTACCATCCGGTCAAAGGCATTTGACCGTCAACGGGACGTTTTCTGGACATTTGTACCCCTCCCTCCATGTGTCCCTTACGCGTGGGACCCACTCAAAGAAAAATAAAAAGAAAAAGCTCTCTCTGTCGTCTCACTTACACGTGGGACCGAAAATAAAAAATATCAATTTCACATGGGGCCCACATATCACCCACATGTCACCTCCCATCTACACGACGGAGCTTGAACTCCGACGAGCACAGGCGCTCCGGGGTTGGCTCGGGACTGCGCGGGAGCACGCTAGGGCGAGCTGTGAACGGTCCTGGAGCAAGGCGGGGTCACGGGCTGGTCCGCAAGGGCACTGGGAGTTTGTAGAGCAGCCGGGAAGCTCGCCGGCGACAAGGTCCCGTGGCAACGGCGGAAGGCGCTAGGCACGGGCAAGCTACAGAGGGGGGGGGGACTAAAGAACGTGAGCAAACACATAAGTGGCTCACTTATTTGATGAAGGCATGATCCAGGAGGCTTGGGATTCACCAGAGCGACGACCTCGTCGTCCATGGCGGACGGCGGAGCGAGGTGACGCTGACACGGTGGCTCGGGAATGAAGGGCTCCGCAGCGAGGGGTCCACAGGGTCTGTAAGCACCAGATCTCGACGAGGCAACCAAGATAGAGCATAGGGACGCGTAGCAGAGGAGATCGAGGCGCGGCAAAGCATCACCGGAGGGGGAGAAGACGACATCAACCACACTGATTTGAGGCGTTATACTTCAATTAATTCGGTGTGGAAGTCGAGGATGAACAGGCGGATCCCTTGGACAAGGCTACGGGTCGTGGGGTTCCCGTTGGCCGCCTGCATGACGAACAACACCTGGGCGGACGACCATGATTCCCGCGGACCACGTCTTTGTCGCGTGGCAGAGAGAAAAGAGGGTGCGCGGGGGAGGGGGGCGTGGACCGGATCGAGGAGGTCATAAGGGGCCGGAGCCGTGCAGGACCTCACCCCGGCGAGGCTACTGCTAGTTGCGTGCGCTCCCGCCGGAGTTGAGGGAGAGACAGGAAAGATTTTTTTTTGGGTGGGTCCTACATGTAGGTGAGACAGGCAGAGAGAGGAGAGATAGAGCCTTTTCTTTTTATTTTTGTTTGAGTGGGTCCCACACGTAAGTGTCACATGGAGGGAGGGGTAGAAATGTCCAGAAAACGTCATGTTGACGGTCAAAGGCCTTTGACCGGATGGTAACGGAGCGGAAGAGCATTTCTATAAGTGCACATAACGGCGGAGGGGCATTTTTTAGCAGGCGGTGGTTCGAGTTAGGGACACAGATGTAAAAGACCCAAAATAAAATCTACCAGTCGCCCAGATCATGTGCATCCATCCATCTTTCATCCAACGTCTAATATTTTCTGGGAGCATTCTCTCCTCTCGCCGCCCGTCGCCACATAGGCAGCACCACAGCGGCTAAGGCTTAGCAGCGGCTCGGTCTCGTGCGGCCAGCGCAACTGCGGCAAGAACCCTACCGCCTTGGGTTGGCTTGGCTTGGCCCTCCCCGTCCAGCTTCGACGGAAGGTGATAGCTGAGCTCTCCTCCCCCAATCCTCTAATCGTCCTTTTCGTAGTTGAAATTTAGGCTGGATGTGGTGGGGATGGGTTTGATCCCTTGCCCGTGGACTTGGGAGGGTGCGAAGATGGGGGGATTTCTTCCCAATCGGGATGGAGACGGGGAGTTTCTTTTTTTTAGCAGGGGGATGGGGGTGGTGGCGGTCTCTCGGTTGGCATTAGCCAGGGCGGCTGTCTGCCTGTCTCGGAATTGGTTTAGAGTACAAAGTGGATTTAATTTCTTCTCTAGTGAAGAAAGACTTTCTTCGAGGGCACCTATCTACTTCTTTCCGAACTGTTTCAGAGTAATATAGTATTGTTACTCTTTGATTTCAGTGTGCAAGTTAACGTTTGTGTTGCTAACACACACAAAAAAACGTTTGTGTTGCTTCACTTCTCTGCATGCCACAGGTACTAACAATTGTAATCTAGCTGCACTTCATCACAAATTCAATGGCAGATCGCTGGCTGGAGCTGCCCAATCTGGCCCTGCAAGTGGTGGGGATCTTACCGGAGGTCCAGAGGCCTAGCAGCATGGTCCCTCGCTGCCAGAAGGTGGCTTACACGGCCGTTTCCCTCCTCATCTACCTTGTCGGCAGCCAACTGCCTGTGTATGGATATGGAGTCCGTTCTCCATCGGTTGCTGACTCTACTGGGTTGACATGCCCGACTGCAACTCCGTCATGTCTGCTGGGATCATGCCCCTCGTTCTGTCTGAGGCGGTGCTTCATTTCCTGCTGTGGTGTAAGGTTCTTAGAGCAAACAATCCTGAGGACCGGATGCTCCTGTAAGTACTGCTAATATAAGTCTCTTCTCCATTCAGTCAAAATTCAAAAACTGACAATTTGACAATTTGTGTAAGCATAATACAGTAGACTTTAATCTTCAAAGTTCTATTTTGGGGGTCCTGTTGATGCTTTTATGACCAGATGTAGTATTCAGTTTTTTTTCCTCATCTTTTCTCCATATATAAGTCTAATGATTATATCAATTATTCTCAGGAGTCGGGTGCAGAAGTTGGTTGGGATAATTTTTGCCGCTGATTTCTCAGTCTGCAGGGTGCTAATTTCACCTATCTTGGGCAAACTGACCTTAGGGCAGTCAATTCTGATCGTGCTTCAGCATTTCTTTGGAAGTGTCATCGTCATTTATCTTGATGATCTCCTTAAAAAGGGATATGGGTTTCTTTCGAGTATCCCCTTGTTCAGTGCCACCGACATTTGGTAAGACCGAAATCCTACAACTATGCTCCATTCGTTTTTTGTAGGGCATTATGAAGTAAGAAGCCGAAGTTTGATTGACTGTACAATTTTATGCATGTTGAATGGCCAAAAAGTTTTAATCAATAAATGCATTTTACACGGTGCTTTTAATGGGTTACTGATATCATAACAGTAAATAATATAGTGCAGTAGAAATTAACAGTTAAATGTATAGAAACTCCTGCCAATTAAACTTAGTGCTAAACAATGAGCAGAGGGAGTTCTTAAGAAGAAAGAACCATCAATATTCTATTTCACTTCCTGTATCAAGCCCATCAACATGAATGCATTGTTTGGCAGTCCTTTGAAATACTAAAATTTCAGAAATTACAACTTTTGAATATGCAGTTGTTGCAGTGACCCAAAACCTTTACTGTGAAAAACCCATGTTTCCATCTGATACAGCTATAACACTTCATATTAGTAATGGAAATTTGTTACGGTTATTAACAATTAATATAGTGCAGTAGACTGTTTGTCTTGTTAATTTTTCTAAAGAATATTCGGTGTGCAAAGATGCCCACAAAATTGAAGAGTTGCACTACTTGTTTATCATCATTCCTTGTTTGGATTAGCAATTTACATTAACACAAAGTTGAATCCATATCACAATTTATGGATTAGACTGGCATAATAATCTAATAATATATGGGGTAAGATAAGCAAAGTTCACTTGTTGATCACCCAAGTCAAGATTAGTTGAAACATTTGATGGTTTTGATTGAAGGAAAAAGAATTAAAGGTGTTTAAATGAAAGTTTAACTGATTGACCCTGGCACAATAACAACTAGTCAGCTATGTTTCATTTTCCCTTTTGAAGGGTCTACAAATATTAGCACTGAATGCACTGGCACTGGCAGACTATATGCTTTTCCTGTCAAATTGATTCAACTGGAAAACAATGCTTGATGGTAGTGGTTTAAACCTTAGGCATTGCGATTTAAACCTTGACGGTTGGAGTCATACTGTCACGACTCCATCTCTCCAGCAAGATCTGGTCTTGATAAGCAATTACTCCCTCCGTCCGCGAATAAGTGTACATCTAGCTTTTGTTCTAAGTCAAAGTTTTAAAATTTTGACCAACTTTATAAAAAATAGTAGTAACATATATGACATCAAATTGATATATTATGAAAGTACATTTCAAAACGAATCTAGTGATACTAATTTGGTGCCATAAATGCTTTTACTCTTTCCTAGAAATTTGGTCAAAGTATTAAAACTTTGACTTAAGACAAAAGCTAGATGTACACTTATTCGCGGACGGAAGGAGTAAGTGAATTAGCCTAAGCAATAATACATACATGTCCTGTAGTTATATTAACTCAAAGTTAATGGGCCATATGTTTCATTTGTGCAGTACAAGTATTTTCTGGAAAGCTTTTAGCCCCTGTATCATAAAGCTATACGGTGGGCAGCATGGTGATCAACATGGGGAAGCTCTCACTTCCTCCCTTATTCATCGATTCGTTGGTAATGGAAACTACAAATTGTCTTCGATGCATAAGGTGTACGGATGTCGAGACCTCCCGGAGATGGCTAGTGTGCTTTCCACGTGCGCCTTCTTTCTACTCGTCCTCAGCCTGCAAGGCTTCCATGCCACGTTGCCACTGAGATCCAGTGAGGTGCCTAGTATGCAAATGAACTATGCCATCAAGCTTTCCTACCTGTCCTTTGCACCCCTACTCTTCCAGGATGTAATGGCCATATTCCTATACATCATCTCAGAGGTACCAGCCACATCACTGTAGAATACTCTCAGTTGCCAAAACTATTAATATGTGATTTTTTTGCATATGATTGCATGACGCACATGCACATGGAATATTTGCCATGGATCAGCTCTATTTGTTTCCAAAAAATATTTTTAATGCAGTATCTTTTTACTAAAGCTTGTGGCGTCAATATATTGTTCTCACTCTGGTTTTTAATTGATGACATTAGGACAACACTTTCAGTTCATTTTTTATCTAAAAATGTATCCTGACGCCATTACTTAAAAACCTGAGGGAGCATTGAATTTCAGAAATGCCAAAAAGGAAAGTATATATACTACTACTACTACTATTACTACTATTATTATTATTATTATTATTATTACTATTACTATTACTATTATTATTATTATTATTATTATTATTATTATTATTATTATTATTATTATTATCACATTATGCTTTTGTTTCATACCGAATAAATTTGGTGAAAATGCCAAAAAAAGTAATATGCTTTATGTCCTTTTGGAATACTATTATGCAGTTGCTGTACGTAAAGTTTGGTGAAAAGAACAAGGTGGTCATTTTGCTGGGCAAATGGAAGAAATCCAGATATTTTGGGCAAGCAGTCCAGTCAGTGGCTTAGCCTACTACGTTACTACACCACCAACGTTAGTATGCACCCATATTCACTTTTTCTAAAAGAAAGCATTGTGGGCGATGAGATAGAAAAATAGTCGGAACTAGTAGACTATCCATTGATACTTTTGAATTGAAAGTTTTACTGACATGTAAAATGTTTCCTCCTGGAATTGAAGCTTGGCTGAAGTAGGAAGACACCCATTCCTCACACTGGTTTATGCGCTGTGGCAGCTTCTGGGGTGTGGCCTTACGTCATTTTCCCTTTTCAGTGTTTGTTCACATTCAGAGCTGTACGTTGGCAGGTTGCTTGGGGTAAGTGAATCTAAAATTACCAGGAGACTGGAGAGCATGCATCTATCTCTCAGTCGTAGCACTAGCTAGAAAACGTTCTTATATTATGGGACGGAGGGAGTACTTACTAGTAATCTTACTTGTCGCTCTTGTGTTCCTACAGGAGCGACGAAATGTAACAGTCGCCCAGCCGGACTCTGTTCCTCTGCAGCTATGGAGGTGCTATGTAGGCAAGGCAGCGTTTCTTGTAGGACTCTGCATTGGTGCACTTACGCTTCTGGCAGGCCTTGCTGGCGTGGTCGGCTCTGGCACCGGGATCATGTTCGCCCTCACTGTCTTGTACTCGTGCTTGGAAGAGACCAGTTATAGAGGAGGGCCAGCTGGTGCCTTTGGTTTCTAAGAGTATGATAGGATCCACGAACGCCTCAGTTTCAGTCTGGTGTTGTTTGAGTTAGTGTTGTTATAGTGTTATATAACGTTACTGGTCTTCCCTCTCACGATTATCACAGATAGACTAGAGATACTAGAATGCCCGTGAGTTGCTACGGGCTTTTTAAAAAATTTAAGGGTGCGTTTGGAAGCCAAAGTATTTTTGTGGTTTTCTGGAATACTGTGGTTTCTGGAAAAAACTTTGGTATTTAATACTTTGAGTCGTTTGGATGAAAAAAATACTGCAGTTCAACAAACCGTGGTATCTCTAAAACTGTGGTATTTTTGTTGTATATAAAAAAGAGGCCCTAACCTCTTCTTTTAAAACCGAGAAAGCGCTGGCTGCTTGGTCTCTCTTGTGTCCAACTTCTGGCCATCAACGCCTGTGATGCGGCGGACGTACAACCTTCAGTACCATGTGTTAAATATCTCGGTCTTTGATTGATTACAAGAGATAACTCTACTACAGATCATATCATCTAGGAGAACATGCTCGTGCAAGGCTGAATGCATACGGTGCCTATTAGTACAAGCTGATCCTTAAGTGTAGCTGAATATGCATACAACAACGTAACAGTCGATGCAAACCAAAGAAAACTGAGAAAAACTGCCACTTGCCAAACACCTCGCAGTTTTACCAAAACTGAGAAAACTATGATTTTTACAGACTGAAGTATTTATTGCTCATGCATTGAAATACTTAGGTTTTGGAATACCATGGTTCGAAAAAAACGTTGTTGCCAAACTAGGCCTAATGGTTGCATATATAAACATAATCCTAAAGATTTGGGACATACCCCACCTACTTTTCTTGGCTCAAAAGGATTGAGGCCCCTCCGATACGCTCAACTTCTAGGATATTTTTTCTTATAATGCCATGAAATTGGTAAGATCGTTGGTGATCGTAAATGACATTTATAATTAGTTGATATTTTCAGATTCATTTTTTGTAACTGTGAGTGATTGAAGGAGAGTTTCCTACAGTCTTGTATTAAAATGATCAGAATGTCAGGGCTACATGTAACAATATTTTCATAGCATCGTTGATTGCAGCTTGGAGTAAATCCGCGACGAGAAGGAAAATGAGTGGTGACAAAGGGTCTCCCTATCGAACTCCTCTTCAACAGTGAAATTGATGACTTGGCACCCCATTCAGGAGGACCGATGATTATTTTTCCAGTTCAGCCATGTATGCGATTTATCCAGTTCCGCCATAATCTCGATCATCGCAGTGTGATCAATGGTGTCAAATGCCTTGGAGAAATCTAGCTTTAGGATGAAGGACTTTTCCCTGAAAGCTTGGCACTGGTGGATGTATTCGATGAATGATCTGCAGGATTAGTTTTTGTAGACGGTTGGCCAAGAGTTTTGTGATAATCTTGATATAGCAGTTCTAGAATCATCGTCATAGAAAACAAAGCCATGAATGTAAGTGCAAAGATGTTTTTCTCCTCAACACTCGACTCTCTACATAAGTGCTTGGTTCATAGTTGTCGTGCTTCATTCAGCATACCTCTGATGCTACAATGTTGTCTTCTCTAACTCCAGAATCTCCGTCAACTCTGAGGATTCTTTTATAGTGCTTCAACTAAGGATTCTTTTATAGCTGTTGTCTTATAAACTTGAAAAATCTGCTCTAACTATTGGCAGATTCTGAAGTATCAAATATATACTATTAATAATATGATGCAACAACAAAACATGTCATACAATGCTAGCAACATAGCATTTGAATATGTGTGAAGCAAGAAAAAAAATAGTGGAACAAAGATATTGTAACAAAAATATATTGATTATCACACATTAAATCCAATAGGGTAATTAGTTATCAGGAATCAAAGAGTTTATACTTGCCTCAATACAAAAATGAAAATACTAAAAGTAGAACAGAGCTCACACTTATGGAAACTTACAAACGATGTACTACTCGTTACATCACACATTCTGAGAGTTATCCAGTGTCTGTGGGCACCAAAGGAAATCGCAATACAAAAGTCAGGCCATCGCAAATCTGAGGCGATGATTTGACCACCCATGCCGCAAATCTCATGGCAGTAGTTTGACCATGTACTTAATCATGCCTACAGAGTGGAGACTCGAGTTAAACCTGCAATAAGCCAATAACAGAAGAATTTTCAGTGCCATCAAGGTGTGATCATACTGAAAATGGATGTAGCTAAAATCATTTACGGCTTCAAGATAAAAATTGTAATCTTGTTTGTAACATGCATACAAATATAAGGTTACTAAAGTTTGCTCACATAATGTTTTTTCACAGCTTCTAGTGCATAGTACTTGATTGAGTACATGACTGTTGTGGCATGCATATTACTCTAAATATTACTTGTAGCAGCATGCATATTACTCTAAATATTCTGTTGTGCAAAATGATACACACAAATCTAATAATTTAGTGAAAACAGATTTAGCCGATAGTATTTTGACCATTATTAATGTACACAAGGAACACAACTCATTGCTATAGTAGTGGAGCAGCAGCAAAAGCATCACCCAAATACTTACCATTGTGCAAGCCAACTAATGATCCAGAGAGAAATCCCAAAGAATAAAAAGCATAAAAACAAGGATACTTTCCTGAGAGATCCCACTTCTTGGTGTAAAATTTGCAACTGACAAAAATATACACAAAAAGATGGAAGATATACAAGAAGGACAGATCCTTCAAAATTGTAGTATTACTACACCTATGCATTACTAAGGTATAAGGAGTATTACAATATTAGATTTACAGAAAAACTAAATTGCAAAACATTGGGATAATTCAAAAGAGACAAATAGATACAAGAAAAGAGATATAATGCTTCAATTCTTATATTTTCAGGCTTGTCATCTCCTTTCTAATTGTATGTGTTTTGATCCCTCTAGGACTGTAGGAAAAAAAGGGATATGCACTCGTTAGTTGGTACAGATATCAACAAAAACTATGTTTTAATTAACAACAATAGTGACATGAGTGTTGCTCCACCTCTCCGCAGTGTAACGGTGGCCTAGCACTGAAGAGAATCTACCTCCCATGTTGATTGGTTTCCCATAGCTCTCGCTCTTCTTGATGTGTTGCTGGCATAGATACTGCTGGTGCAACCACATGAGAACATCTGTGACATGCTTTGGCTGCTCCTCTGCAGGAGCTCCCGCTTCACGTTGACAACATGCTAGTACATCATCTCCCATGATAGTGTAGAAGAGCAGGAACACAACAGTCTTCAATAGGGTTCACATGAATGCTAACCAAGTTGCTCAGTCTATTCAGGCATGTCACTCCTTTCTAGTGCATTGCTAACCAAGCACTGTCATCACATGGCCGTCTATGGCGGGTGCTGCACATCAATGTTTGTTAAAAAAGAAAAAAGAAGAAGAATAAGTTTGATGCTATTAGAATAGACATAAAGAGTATCACTCAAGCTTGAATCATCTTAGCATTGGAATTATGATGCTTCTTCTTGGACTCACCATTCATTACACTGGGATTATAAAACAAATTGGAAGAACGATTGAAGGTGATAATAATCCAGTAAAATTCAGTTGTAGCATGAATTCTTATATGCTTCATCTCACTTGCTAACCTTCATTGCTTTGACGTGATGCACTTGTCTCTGTGGCTTTTAGAGCCTTAAAAATAATATAAGGAATAAGAAGTTTGCGATAGACTAAACCTCTTGGAAGAAAATACAAAGAAAGAAGAAAGCATATATTCCTAAGGTGTCATCATCCAATACAAGGTTCAATATGTGGTCACTGCCACATAGGTTTCTTTACCATAGGAGCGTTGCTACACAGACGATGCTCTTTGTCCGATTAGTGTCCGATGGTACACATCCAGCCATCCATTACTTAGAACAAAATGACAGCACCCCACTGGATCAATTATTGGATAGA